GTTACTAGTAGCGATGGTCTCCAACCTAATAGCGATGGCCTCCACCTAGTATCTTCTCGTTACTGGTAGCGATGGTGTCCAACCTAATAGCAATGGCCTCCACCTGGTAGCTTCTTATACTAGTAGTGATGGCCTCCAACCTAATAGCGATGGCCTCCACCTAGTAGCTTCTTATTACTATATAGTAGCGATGGTCTCCAACCTAATAGCGATGGCCTCCACCTAGTAGCTTCTTATTACTAATAGCGATGGTCTCCAACCTAATGGCAATGGCCTCCACCTAGTAGCTTCTTACACGAGTAGCGATGGCCTCCAACCTACCTAATAGCGAGGGCCTCTACCTAGTAGCTTCGTGTTACTAGTAGCAATGGCCTTCAACCTAATAGCAATGTCCTCCACCTAGTAGCGTCCCTACTAGTAGCAACAGTGGAGAGTCGATCAGTCAGAACAGTCGCACCTTTTAGCCCTCAATGTTGCATGATGGTGAGGAAGCAAACGCACATTTTTTACAGCTTGGTGGTCCCAAGAAATTATTGATGATAAATCATTTTCCGGCTGAACGAGTGAAACCGAACCAACTAATCAAAGCCAATTCTACTCATCACGGAGAGCGAAGCTTCCAAGGTTGAGTGGATCGTGGAAAGGAAAACCCCGAAAATGAATCTACAGTATCCTGGCAATGTTTGCTGCCTGCTTGCAAGCGCGCAGTTGCCAAGGCGATGGAGCACGGGGAAAGCCAGGCTTTTGAGTGGCTTGCAGTTAAACAAATACTGCACCTCGACAAAGAGCAGAACATCCTACATCGAAATATGAGCCGCCATCAGAACTAGTTAAAAACTGGGTTTCGATCCATTCCGATCCGATCCAATCAACCGCACCGTTTACCAGGCGATCTCCAGCCCCTCCACGGCCACCACTTGGTATGATGCCTGGGGCATGGACCAGGTGAAATTGATCTCCAAGTGTCAGCTCTGGCGACAGGACCAAGATTTCTCGGAAACAATGGCGCCAGGACTCTGTTTCATTCATCAAGTCTCTCCTGAGGACCAAGGTCAAGCCGGGGCGAACTGCGCTATCCCATCATGTAGTAGACATGATAACTGCCTCATGTGGATGATTGTAACGCCTTTTCATGCGGGGGTGTCTTCATGTGAGAAGCTTTAATACATCAATCAAGAGCCTACTTTATTCTGGAAAGAAAGGAACTGGTAAATCTTCTCGATGAAACGGGCAGGACGACGACTGGAACTGGGCTCCAGCACTTCTCAAACTCCGAGCAACTTGCGCACTGGATCTGCTGGGTGGGATTTGGGTGGGGTCAGCCCACATTGAACGGAAAAAGCTGTTTTAAAGAGAAATCAGCTTTGTTTACAACCCCATGAGTGGACTCGTTTGCGTTCCTCGATCGAACCCTGCGCAGCTCGAAGGTACCTCATGTGTTCAATCGCTTGAGATGAATTATGAAAGCGCTTTAAGATCCGTGTGCCAAACAAACATTGAAGAAGTGTGGGCCAGTTCATGCCAGCCCCTTCGAAAATGCTGCCTTGAGTGCTCAAGTGAGTGGATGATTCTGGGCATACCCTCCAACAAGCACCCAACTCCATGGAACTCATGACTCCTGTGACTCCTGGTGCTTGGTTTTCACTTTCCCATGCTTTTACTTGCCACCCCTGCCTCGCACTACCACGAGACCCTGCGCCAGCTCTCGCGCTCTCGCGCCGCCGACCGCTCTGGGCTACACCAACCAAGGAGCCCAAAATGGAAGGATGGGCCGAAGAGCAAAATCAAGTCCACCGGCACCTCCGGAGTCCACTGGCCTGAAGGCGTCAAGGGGGCGGCTTGAGTTCCCCGCCTGGCGACCTCGCACATGAGAGCCAAGGGCCGAGCATGGAGGATAGCTATTCCAGTTCCTCGGTGCATCAGGAAAATCCGCGTCTTTTATCCCTTAGTTTGGACCTTCCAACTCTGAACTCCAAGGAAGCGACGAAACTGTCCCTGAAACCTCGAGATGGCCCACTCCTCCATACGAACCACCGAAACCACCGGTTTCGTCCTGCACCTGGACGCACGTCCTCCACCATCACCCTTTCCCCCCGATACCACACCAAGAAATGAACAGGGCACCACCGAAACCGCGCAAAAGACACAAACATTTGATACATGCACTGACCCGGTTCCCTCTCAATGTGTTCAGCCATTCTGGCCAGCACACTCACCAAAAGAAAAAGAATGGAAACGCAAAACAAACATCAATGCTTGCATCTCAATGTTGTGGCACCAAAGCGCAAAAGTAACCAGACCTATGTTTGGTTGCACGCAGGTTGGCCTCAAACATGGGTCTGATTCTTTCACAAGTTTTCAAAAGCGCTTTTTTGTGTCTTGTTGCCTCCCCTATCCCCTGCCTATTTTACAATGATATTGGAATTTGTAGATGCTGGACAGCAAGTGAATGCAAATGACATAATGCAAAGCTGTTCTACATCAACACAGGAAAATCATTAGTGATGCCGCACAACAGCACAAATCCTTTTTACTTCCCCAATCTATGGCCTCATGGTTTGCAAACAACTGTTATGCTAGTTGCCCTGATGCCATTTCCAAAAGGGATGTCTTGATCAAAGTTGTCATAGCATTTTGTATATTGACTTGAGAGAGGAGGGGGTGAAATCACAAGTAACCCTGGTAGAAGTCCATGACGGCGTGAACCGGCGCAGGGGGGATTTGATCCGGGGGGGGGGCCCCCCCCCCCGACGAACAGAATCAACTCTTACAGGACCAAATTCAATGCACAATCCCAACTCCTGATTGTAATACATTTTTGCTAAAGCAAGGAGAACTCAGGTAGCTCAAGCTACCTTTCGTGACAAGTTATAGGTCTGAACATTGGACCGGCAACCAATAAGCTATGAACTGTAGGCAGGTGCTCTCATGTGCTCTCACTTCTTGTAGGTGTCTTTTTACTTCAAAGGGCTTAAAAACCACGTGGAGAGCATAACTGCAGAATCCACCCCTTCAAAGACCAAGACTATTGTTCTGTGCTGGTTCCTCTTCCTCTTCTTAAGTTGCTCTGCCTCTTCCACATGACCCTTTTCCTCTGCACTCGGATCTTCTCAAGAAATCTGTGTATAGGCTTATCCGCGTATCATTTCTTAAGCAAAACTCCATTAAACTCCATTCACTGTGCCATTCTTGCCTAGAAATGCGTGCGAGGGTGAGGAAAACAATCAACCCATTAAAAGTAAGGAAAACGTGCTCGATCTATTCTCATCTGGGTGGCGGGAAAGGCTCTTGGACGGCCTCTCCACTGACATAGCTTCGAACAATGGCCAGCTCCTCGCGTGTCACGACCCGAGCTGTCAACATGCCGCGTGGTGTCAAACACGGGGCATTCCAGCGCGGTAAAAGCGTAGTGTCATTAAAAAAAGAAAACAGTCCACCAGTGACTGGTTTTCCAGGGTTTGCAACCAATTCTACAGCTCTGTGCCATTCTCCTGGGCATAAAGCTGCAAAGGCAGGGCCAAAGCTAACCAAAGCCACATTGCCAACAGCCCAATGCGCGCCTCAGCTTGCAGTCATGGTGCTGAAGCGCTGAAGCAAATGCGGGACTTGGGTGATGTTCCTCTGACCTACGCAGGTTGGGTCCCTTCCGATGTGATCGATTGATCAATAAGTCAGGAGCTGGAGATGTGCGACCATCAAGTTATTTGATGTTCTTTGTGGCGTATCATAAAGTTCATCCATAAGTTCCATATCATCCATAAGTCCATCGCCCAGTGCGTCGATTCGGAAGAATCTGCCAGCCGTCTCGCGCCTCGATGTCTCGCCACGGTCGGTCTCGGTCCCGCGCCTCCCGGGTCGCGGGACAGGATCGTTCAATCAAGGGGGCTCAAGGGCCCGCTCATCCGATCGGAGCCATAAAGGTCTGAAGCTTGAAGCTATGCTTATCTGACTAAGTCAATGCTCTCTCCAACGAATTGGCCACTCAGAACTGATTTACATGTTGGATCATGTTTGCGTCTCCCTTGCGATGTTGCCTTGATCTGCTTCTCTTCTCTTGTGCTGGTTTGTTGATGTTTACCGTGTATGTTCCATGAAGATCCATGAAGCATGCAGCAATGTACATATCTCAAGCTCAAGCTCTGCCCAGATGTGGCTCCGATCTAGACTATACAGGGCACAGAGGTTCCTGTAAAGGGACGATGTGCGGTGGTGAATCTGTCAGAATCAGTGAGAATCAGTGATCCAGGTCCAATGGACAAATCTGAATCGTCGAAGCCAACCCCAAAGAGAGACCTCTGTGCCTCAACTTGGATCGCTGCCTCTTTTCGCAGCGATGGGCTTAAACCTTGGGCTTGAGCCTGACTGGTGGACGTTCTGAGTGGGCTCGGGCGTTCAGATTCCTTCCGCACCGGCACATGGTTGGCCGCATGCACTCCGGGTCCAGATCCCTTGGAACAACTCCATGGTCCGACTTCAAAACACCCACCCTTCACAAGTCTCCCAAAACGAAGCCAACTGGCTGGCATAGAGAGAAATCATTTTCCAAATTTCATGGTTCTTTTGGGCGGCTTTTGAGCTAAGTAAGGTCAGGTCCTAGAAACCGAGGTTGCATAACTCTGCAGGCATCTTTTGACACTTAAGGCCGAACTCACACGATGCGGCGCAACTTCGTCGCGCACGCGGAGTTTAAATGCATGCACTTTCTGCATGCACTTGGCGCCCATCCGTTTATAAGGCTCTGGGGTCCATGCCAGGTCCGTGCCCCTTTCAAACAGACTGGGCCGTGTGTCCAACAGAGGCTTTTCTGGGGGTAGAAAGCTGTTTGACCCGGCTGCGACCAAGAGTCAAAAATGCCAAAGGTCCTTGCAGGAGCTTTGTAGGAAAGGGTTTTGGAGCTCAAGATTGCCACCTCTGTGCCATCATCGCGGCGCAGAAGATATGTCCAACACCCACATGCATGGCCCGGTGCTTTGCTTTCTTCATGCTTCTCAGGGCAGGAGCTATGTGTTGCTGCAGTACGTCTTTCGGATATAAAAGCCAGATCTGCCACATATAATAAGCTGCAGCTAGGGCCAGGGTTTGTATGCATGGTTTTGTTATACACCCGAAACTGCAAAGCACTGTTCCGAACGGCTGCCTGGCATTAGGTTTTATATGTGTTCACTAAAAACTGCCACACATCGGCTCGTGCAGCCATCTGACTATTCATTCCCGATCCCTCTCAAATGGTGAATCCTTTCAGGATCACCAATTACATCACATCAGTATCACTCGCGTCACTGACGTGATTGGTTCACATCACATGCCTCCGCACGTAGCTCAACTAGACACTTAGCCAATCCTGAAAACGACCGCACATGTTATTTGTGGCTTGCACATGTGTGGGCATGTCCAACATCATTCAACACCCCCAAGTGACACTAAAACACTAAATCATGTAGTCAAAATTAAAAAAAAACTATATGTATTTATTGGCACGATCTTGAGGCTTTGATAAATGCTGGTCTTGTCACACGCACAAAGTGTTTTCAAAACTCGCGGGCGGGGTACTTTGTGGAGGTCTTTCTTTTTGCTCTTTAGGAGGCCAAAGATATCTATCGATACTGTAGATCAAAAGGGCCAAAAACCAACTTGAGAAAGGGAAACGCAAAAGGTATCAAAAGGTAAAGATTTACCAGGGTGAGGTCGCGCGGAGAAGTTGGAAGGGCATATGGTGGTTTGTAAAGCTGCCCAATGCCGAAGTTGTGTTGTGCAAGCGTGGCCGTGTGTCAAAGGCATGCGCCGCATAAGAGTGGCTCGCGTCGCGAGGAGAGGTTGATATACAGCATGTTGGTGGTGTGGTCTGGCGCACATGGAGGTTTGTAAACGCCGCTTTGCGTAGAGGCTGTGTTGTCAAAACTGGTTTGGGCAACGCTAAGGTGTGTGAGCGCTGTTTGGCGCAAAAACCATGACGTGTAAACGCTGGTTTGTGTGTGTAAACTGCTCTAACATGCGGATGTTGAACTTTCGGAATTTGGAATTTTGAGAACTTTTTTGAGAGCAGGGGGCCCGCGGCCGACAAGCAAACGCTGGCTAACAAAGCTTTGCTTGTTCGGTGGATGCACAGACTGGTCAACTGTGTGTGCCTGCCTTTTCCAAAAGTTCTCAACGATGGTTTGCCTTATTGTTGGAACGGCTGTACGTTGTTCTACACCAGGACAACGGTTGAAATCAGCCTGTTCTCTTGTTGCTTTCTTGACAAGTCAGTTGCTTCAACCATACTGCATGACCGACATGATCGACGGTGTCGCTAACTCACCTTTGACCTGTCTTTCCGAGCTTCAAGGACACCTACTCAGGAGGCCCTGGGCTTTGCCATCATCCTATTGCTCCACACTCCCAACTCATTTCCCAGTGTGTTTAGGGCGCATGCCAGATCTGGCGACGCGGTCGAGACCCCACGTGGGACTCTATAGATGGCACGGGCCTTCCCGCGAGAAGTCAACGGCCCTCACATGGAGGTGCCTGAGTCCTGCACACCAAGTGGTGTTGAGTATGCGCCAGCATGCAAAAATCACAGTCTCGAGATAGACTGTAACTAGCTATCATGCGCAGCTGCAAAGCGGCAGAAGTTGCATCGCGCACAGCTGCAATGCGAAGCAGATCCGAATGAGTGGATTGAACTACGTGTCCGACTCTCAAGCTTTTTACTGACTTGCTAAGCAGTTATGACAGTTTGAGAACAAGAGTCTACCTTTCAGGCTTTAGGTTGTGAAGGTTGGCAGTCACGCAATTTGGAAGAAACATCAGAAGTCTTTTCATCAGGCTTTAGGTTGCGAAGGTAGGCAGTCACGCACTTTGGAAGAAAACCAGAAGTCTTTTCATCAGGCTTTAGGTAGCGAAGGTCGGCAGTCACACACTTTGGAAGAGACCCAGAAGTCTTTAAATCAGGCTTTAGGCAACGAAGGTCGGCAGTCACGCATCGCAGAAGCAAACCAGAAGTCTTTTCAGCAGGCTTTAGGCAACAAAGGTCGGCAGTCACGCATTGCAGAAGTAAACCACAAGCTTGTCCACCAGGCGGGAGGTAGTGAAGATCGGCAGCCAAGTGCTACAGAAGAGAACCAGAAGTCTTTTCCACAGGCTTTAGGTGAGGAGGTTCAACTGAACGCGGGTCCCCATGCAGAAGGCAAGTTCGACGAAACTAAGGATCAAGACACTAAGGATTCACACTCTAAGGGTACTAAGGAAAGATGTCCGTCTGGAACCTAACATGTTTTTGCTACTTATGATGACTGGGCGCCGGAAACAGCGAATGTCCACCTGTGCTTAGGCTCTTTCATGAAGTTTGAGGAGGGCCCTGTGTGTGTGTGTGAACCGCTCTAACATGCGGATGTTGAACTTTCGGAATAGGGAATTTTGAGAATTTTGAGAGCAGGGGGCCAGCGGCCGACAAGCAAACGCTGGCTAACAAAGCTATGCTTGTTCGGTGGATGCACAGACTGGTCAACTGTGTGTACATGCCTTTTCCAAAAGTTCTCAACGATGGTTTGCCTTATTGTTGGAACCGCTGTACATTGTTCTACACCAGGACGACGGTTGAAATCAACCTGTTCTCTTGTTGCTTTCTTGACAAGTCAGTTGCTTCAAACATACTGCATGACCGACATGATCGACGGTGTCGCTAACTCACCTTTGACCTGTCTTTCCGAGCTTCAAGGACACCTACTTAGGAGGCTCTGGGCTTTGCCATCATCCTATTGCTCCACACTCCCAACTCATTTCCCAGTGTGTGTGTGTGTGTGTGTCAAAAATGCTTGGCCCCACGGCTGTGCATGCTCCTTGAATTAAACTGAAAGACCGTGTTCAGCGCGTGCATTGAGTAAAGCTGTGGTGCGCGACCTCTTGGCTATGCGATTGCAACTGCGCACAAGTACCCACAACAGAACAAACGACCACGTTCACAGCAAACTGAAGTTCAATCCGCATTGCACTGAACTGCAACGAATTAAAGCACCTTGCACAACGCAAGGTCCATTGCTCAATCTAAGTCTAGAAGCTAACCTAGGATCTGGAGTTCACCTGGGTCTTACAAGATCACTGCTCCGCTACCACTGAAAGAGTGACTACCGCGTATGCCCTGTGGAGTGCAGGCTAGCGGTGTCTTTTGTGTGGGCACGCTGCATGTCCCTCTAGCCTTGAGTATGCAGAATGCTTCACAACTGAGCTGTATAGAGGGAGGTGCTATCGTAGTTCGAGAGCAGACCCACAAAACAGTGGGGGCCCACCATAGAATTGTTTTTTCACTGTTTGCTCCCGAATAGGGGTTCAAGCTACCCCTTTGCTTCGCAAAGCAAACTCAAGGTAGTCCTTACTAGGCTGCCTTTCGTGACAAGTTTCACTGACTCAGCCTGAGACTGCCAAAATACCACTGCTGGTCTCCCCCCACCTCCTGCTGACGCCTCGCTCCAGACCCACTGCGCCTCCCACCATGCCAGGATATGCTAGTTCGGGTGCCACTGGGTCGGCCTTAAGGCAAGAAGACCGATCCCACCCTGATTTTGGGAACGGGCTTGAAGTTGATCCTGAAGGATTCTTATGTTATTCCAGGATGATGAAATACTGACATGATGCGGGTGAAGATGCAAATCATGAATGAGATGTGGTGATTCTGATGATGCTGAGGAGGAGGAGGAGGAGGAGGAAGAGGAGGAGGAGGAGGAGGGTGAGGAGGAAGAGAAGGAGGAGGAATGAGGTGTAGGACACTAGGTGGCTGCAAGAGGAGCCGACCCCATCAATGAGCCTTGGGGAACGCACACGGTGTTCATATATATAGACCCTATAAATGTAAGTCATGTATGCAATTCACAACTCTATACAGGCACTACTATATATATATATATGTATACAGATAGGTAGATAGATAGATATAATATAGTTTTATATATATAGACATGAAAATGCATGACACAGCCTTCGCATTCCAACTTCTTAAGAGGGAGTGTAATCTGCTCATGTTGCCACCTGAGCTTCAGCATGCTACTTTGGTCGACTGTGTGGGTCACAAAAGGGCCAAGCGTGTGGCTCCTCTTTCTGCCTCAGCCTGGTTTCGGATCACCAGATCCAAAACGTCAAGATCACCAGATCCCTGAACGCAGGTCTTCGGTGCTCGCTGCCGAATAGCTGGAAGATCTTGCTGAACCCAGACCTGAGCCATTACGATTGCCACCGTGGGGAACCCGGCCAGGATGGCCGCTTTCATCAAGGAGACCCGGTGAGGTCCAAATGCGTCCAACAAGCTTCTGCTTGAAAACTCTCCAACAGCTGACATATGACATAAGCATTTCCTTCGGCATTGGGCTGCACAATGAAGCAGTCATTTCCATGCCTTCTGCTGTCCTATCAGATGGCCAATCGGGAAAATCGCTTCGAACATCAAAATGTTGGGCGCCGAGTGACTCGAAAAGCTGCATTGTCATCCACCACTTGCAGCACACTTGGCGTCCGACGTCGAAGGTCGCGAGATCGGATTGGACCGGTTTGGATCGTCCCGGACCGGCAGTCGTTAGATCTGGTGAAGACGACTGGACCTGAAGTGAATATGGATTGGGTCTATCCTATTACCTGTAACACTGGATGATGATGGTTAGTAGAGGCCTTTCTCTAAAGTAGTGATTTGTTTGCTTACTGATTACTGCCTGTTACAGGTAATGGGACAAACACAAAATATGGGTGCAAGTGTAACTTCCCCCAAAAAAAATATCCAAACAATTCCAAACATTGGTTTATATTTCTTATTATTTCTTTATAGAATCTCGTTGGACATTCCCCATGCCAGGCTCCCATCCCACATTTCTTTGTGGACTCCGATGGCTAGTTCAAATGTCGGTCCAGCTAAAACCCTCCTTGGGTTTGGTTGGAAAGATTTGGGTCTAATACCGCCACCCAGTGGTCTAGCAAACTGATCTGCCACCAGCGAATCACCCTCTCACCGAGACCAACCTGAGTGACACCCCCTCCATGGATGACGCCACCTTACATGGGTATACCTAGGGCAAACCTCAGCGTACCCTGTGACCTGGGACCAAGAATACACATCTTCGGAAAAGGAAATTCAAGTTGTTGGACGTTTTTAGGCAAGAAGTGAAAGCGCAAGCTCCCCATGGTGGGAGAAGCTGGGACAATGCGACTGGTCACTGTCATGATGCGACCATTGCGCAGTCGCATGAGGGCAGACATGATGTCAAGTGACAACTGTCAAGTAACATGTCGCGACGATCAAAACTCATTATGTGTGGTGAGGTCATGGTATCGTTTTTCAGGGCTCCCATCGTCTCACACAGTGCGAAGCTTGTTTTGGCCCTTGCACATATGTTTGCGTGGGCGTGTGCAATCGTGCGCATTGATGACAAGTATGCATGAACTGCTGCCGCGCCCATAGGTCTCCTACCCACAACAACCGTTGGCCTGACGTGAGTTTAAAGTGAGCAGGTTGCGTGTCCCTGTTTGAGTTAGCCCAGTTCGGCCACATCAAATCTATATCTATCTAATCTACCTAGCACTGCACAGCTTGCATACACCATCAGGTACAGGTACTCATCCAAAACTGTCCCGGCTAGATCTTGAGATTCTAGGAGGGCCCCTTGCCAAGCAGTAGCCCAAAAAATATCTCAGAAAACACGGCAACCAGTGTCCACTAGCATCCATGGGCAGTATGGATGTGTCATGATGCGTCCTATGATCCGATTTGCTGGTGTTCTACTTGGTACCGCAGAAAATCCAGGGGCCGAATTGGAGAGAAACCAGGTCACCCAACGACATCCTGGTCAACCCGTCTCCCACCTTGCAGATTGCGAAGTGATGGGTGGCTCTGCTCGTGCAAATGCGCCATCCTTAGGCCATTTCCATCAGACCCAACTGCTCGGCGCCCGGGGTGCCCAACCAACACCGACGAATCCGACGTTGGAATGCTCAAGCATAGCACATCAAAGGGCCACATAAGAAGACAAGGCCAAGTGAAGCTTTACCAAATTTTACCCCAAGCCCTTGCCAATCTATCAGCCTCAACTTGAATGGGATCTCCTTCATTGCAACGCATTGCAATAGCCAGCCCAGCCCAGCTCGCTCTCACCGCTGAAGGCCGAGACACCATGGTCAAAAGGTTTAAGTTTCCCGGGGGAGGTGGCGGGTCCACCTCCAAAGGGCAGGAGATGGCAGGTCAGAGTGAGGATAGGATGAGTGACTTCTTCGGAAATGATTTGTCAGCCCCTCAGACAGTGCTGAAGAAAGAAAGCACGTGAATCGCGCTGGGCCCCCTCCTCCAGAAGGTGATTGATGGAAAATGGCTGAAAATTGGTCTTTTCTCTCTTTTTGGACCTGATGTCTAACCCACTCAATGAACCCATTTCTGGAGGTCTCTGTCTTTTGCGTTCGGAGCCAGACTGACTGAGCAGAGCTGGCACGCTTGCACCTCTGAACTCTGTGGGCTGAACGGTTGAAGCTTCCCAAGGCCTGCGTGATCGGCAAACGAGGCCAAGACGTTATGAAAAGAGTCACGCGACGGCAGGCCCTGCACCTGCATACTGTAGAAGTGAGACATCTCCGCAAGACGTAAAAAAAAACGAGCAACATGGCGTTCCTTGATTCTGAGGGATTTTCCTGACAGATCAAATTGACCAACCGAAAAAAACATGGACCACAAGGCACAGCCTTGACCCAGTCTGGCTCACAGTGCCACACCATGTCACATTTGTTCGAGATCCTCGCCTTCGGCCTCTGCCCCTTCGATCCTGAGTTCGGACAGGGGATTCTTGAAGGCACCCAGTCTGATGGACAAAAAAGGGGGAATCACCTGCAAACGTGTACATTTTGTCAAGTTCAATAGCCCCAGCACAGGCACACTTTTGCGCTGGCCTTCGGCATGGAGTTGAACCGAAAACCTGCATGGATTGTCCTCTGAAGGTTACCGTGCGGCCAAACCTGCATGTGATCATCACTGAGCTATCATACTTAGCCCATACTTAGCCCTTCTGGTTTTCACAGATGCATGGATCTTCTTTCCAACCACATGTTTCAAGACCTTAAGAGTAATACTAATTCAATGAAATGACCCCACATAACTGTGGTAGGGATACGGTATGTTACAGTGATTGGACAGCGCTGCTTCCTGAGTCGCACTGCAGCCCCAAACGTTTGAGTGAAACAAGATCGTTCTTTGCGAGTTGCGCAGTCACCGGGGTCCTCTTGTTGAAGAGAGCAAAGGCAACTCCAACCAGCAACACCAGGCCGCACCTGGACGGTTGACCAAAGCTGTCGATGAATCGTCCCCTGATCGCGTCAGGTCGTGTGAGCTTCTCAGGTGGCCAACAAGCGCAAAGGCGCAAAGTGTCGGCATTCCAGGAAAATATCCACAATATATCGACAGGGCTTCACCCATGCCCAAGACATTTGCATGGTTCATTCCAAATCTCTCTACAGGACCCGCGGTTGCAACAAAGCTGACTCCCTCAGGAAAACAGAATATTTTAGGTGAACTGAACCAAAATTTTCCACTGGTTCATGTGTACAGGCGAACACTTGCATCCCCCAAAAAACGGGCAGGTGATCCAGGTATATACTTCGGTCGGAAAGCTGGCCATCTGAGGGCCAAAAATGGGTGTTTAAAGAGCTTGCGACTTCAGACCACTAAAAGCCTCAAAGTCCAGAAAAACATTCAATAGTTGCTTGTGTTCTTTGTTTCACGTTCCATCCATGTTCCATCCCCACAACCTTCATGATCCAGTCTGGGTCCGTTTCCGAGAGCGGCGCAAGGTGGCCAACGTCGCGGCCATGATCGCCACGATTGGAGAGTCATCTTGCTGGGCGGGGCATCCCTCTTTGATCAGCCACCGTCGATCGCTCCAACACACAATCACCTGAGGCGCTGGTGTCATCGTCGGCGCAACAGTTATAGCCGCCTGTTCAAGGTGGATGCTCACCAGTGCCCACATGGTCCACAACAGTGGATTAATAAATAAACACCCCCAACCAAAATGGTGCCATAGGAGGGTTTTTCCCGTTCTTCAAAGCAGTTTACTGTTGGGGACTTCTGTTAAAAAAAGTATCTGGCCACCTCCCCTGGTGCTCTTGGCCAGGGTTTCGAGCTGTGTCTTCCTCTTGTCTTGCTGTTCTCCTGCCTTGCGGCGTCCTCTTGTCCAGTTCTTGTGTGGGTCTGTGTGTCCTGCTTGGCCGGGTGCTGTGGGCCTCTTCGCCCGGCCTTGTCCGGGTCAGTCCTGCCTGTCGTTGTCAACCCTTCATCACCGCTTTCTCCTGGCCTTATCCCCTGCTTGGCAACGCTGCTTTCCCTTTCTCATCCTTTCTCCACCGTTTTGCCCGGGTATGTTTTCGTGTGGTTCTGAATGGGACAGAGAGGCAGCGTTTGGTATCATGCGCAGATTTCCTCATGACATATATGCTGGTACCCCTTCGTACTTACACATGTGACAACTGCAGGAATCAGGAACCATTGGTTTCTGACGGCGTTTTTGCTTACATGCCACTCCCCCAAAACAGGCGTCGGCGTCACCTCACAGGGACTCAAGGAGTCGACGTCACTGAATGCTGAAACTGTTTTGGGGTCTATGCTAACATGACAATAGATTTATATATTGATTTATGATAATAGGTTATCATGATAATAGGTTTATGCTAACATGTTTGGGGTCTATGCTATTGATGAACTTTCTATACAGTATAATTAGGTTTTATGTTCACGTGGGATAGGTGATCATCGAACCATGCAGAAGGGCCGCCTACCTGGCAACCTACCCCAGCACAATGCCGACTCCATCAGAGTCCACCGGCAGTGCCGCGAAATGGCTCAGGTCTTCCAGCGGGGTTGCTGCTGCATACCTTCTAGAGGGTACCCCCAACTAGCCACAGGTGAGCAGTGTACAGTGGGGGCCTTACACTGAAAACTTCTATACACTGAGAATGGTTCATTGGTACAAGGGTTGGGAATTACCCCCAAGTTGAAACATCTAACATCTGCCCCAACAAAACATCAAAAAACAAAAACTCCTGCTCACGTGGCTTCTTGCGGCACAGCTTGCTAAGCATGCTCCAAAAGACCTATAACTATGCCATCAAAGGAGAACAAGTTGTGGCAAGACCCTCCGGGTCAGAGTTGGATCTGCATCACTCCCTCCAAATCATTCAAGCAACATCTGTTTGGTAAGCCTGTGTGAAGTGGGAGGTCAAATCCAAAATGGTGAGAGTCCCCAACCGCCCAATGGCTGGGGAGGGGAAAAACAAACCACAAACCTCATGACTCGTGTAGACTCTTGACTCTTGATTCATCACCCCCATACGACGAGGTTTTACCACCTAAATGGAGGGTTTTACTGATCAAGAGCCTTCTTTGTGAGATCCTATGAAGCTATCTGCTCCAAGTCACTGCCTCACCGTCCAGCTCACAGGCGCTGCGGCAGGTCTGTCCAATTCCAGCGCTGCCCTCGCAGGAGAAGTTCTCACCTGGCCAGGAGAAGTCCCAAGTGCTGGGACAAGCCATCCACCAAGAACTGGAACCGTTCCTGAAATTCACCTGTTCGAACTGGCAACTCAAAAACATGACATGCCAATGTCTCTCCAAGATCCATTTCAAGCTAAACCATCATCTATACCCCAACTAAAACACATGCACAGGCCAACTCATTTCTAGTTCAGGAGTTCAAGGCATCTGAATATGGCTGTTTTTACGGTCAAAGGGAAGCCCAAAAAACTAGTGCTATATATATATATATAGCTTTTTGAGAACACTAATTATTACAGTAAAAAGTTTAATATGCATTGTATATAATTACATGTAATTACAATGTTCGATAATAACTTAATTCGATAACAGCTTTTACAACCTGCTCATGAGACTGCGATAGCAAAACTTGAGTTTGTCTTCCTACAATGGTGAAGAATGTGCAATGACTTGGTTCTGGTGGTGGAAACGAAACCATACCATTTCAAACCCATAATTATTGCAACTGAAGGCCGGCTAATTGTTAAAATTAACCACACATGGTCACACCATGAAACCGAGCACACTGGGGGCCATCTTTGTTTTGGGGTTCCGGGGTTGCAAAACAATATCCAACTGTCTCAAATCCACCTGCACCGCTGAAACGGTGGCAGGTCCGAGTGTGTTTTGACCTTCCAACGAAGAGCCGTCGAACGGCGAAACCCGACCGCGCCGCCCACGCGCCGTCGCGCGCGCCGATGGCGGCGATCTTTTGGGAACACCATGAGTCGTCTGAATTCCTTCGATGGCGCTCCAAATGATCCGTACAACCGGATCCAGACCGTCGAACGGCATATGTCGGACAGCGAAAAAACGGGCCCTGGCCAAACATCGGTCCCACACAGACACGTCGGACAACCCGGTTAAGGGGTGATCCACTCTTCGAAGTGGTCCCTCCCAGTGTCGAATGACCTTGGACTCCTTCGATGCCAGGCATTTGCTCTGGAGTGCAGAAGAGAAGTCCGGCTGTGGCCTAGGCGGGTCAGTCACCGGCTGGGCTGTGACTGGGCCGTGACTTCGTGCCAAAAGTGTTGGAAAAGGCTCACAACACACACCAAGTGATCCGAATATTGAACGCCCTGGCGCGTTGCTTCACGCAGAGGCGATGTCTCTGGGATCTGGACGCAGAAGGGTCGACACGGCACGAGGTGCAATCTACCAGTCGTTGAAGCACATGTTACATGTTTATCATGAAAGCAACTCCTTATACGCTGAATATTCACTCAAAAACGACAGAAAATCTCGTGGCTTCATGTGGTTTCCGCTGTTCAGTGGTTTTAGTGGTTTCCATTGCTTTCTCAAAAGCAACAGCGATCCACTGTTGCACTTGGATTCCACCATTTGGAAACACTGCTCTACGACTTTTCTGGATTTGCGGGGGTTATATATGTGTTGTTGTTTGTATTTTTTGGGAATTCAGAATATGAATGAATATGACATGATGTTGGTTGTTTTGCGGGAGAAGTTGGCAGTTTGTTCGATACATGATGCTTTCCCAAGCATCCGCTAAATCTTGGCTTAGGTTTAGGAGTTCGTGGTAGAAAGGCGCTATTGCGAGATAAACAGGCAAACGAAGTCCACCCCAAAAAATGCGAAGAATGAATCTCCAGGTGCTGTCACATTTGTCAACCCAACCTCGAGCAAAATACCGATGGTTGGCGGCTGGTTGCAAATATGCCGACGCCAAGCTGCATCTTCATTCGTCACATCGATTTGCACAGTAATGCTACTCACAGCCACCTGGCGGCGTTAGTCGGATGTGACGACGCGTTTATTTCGGGGCCCTGAGAACATCTGAGAAGTGAACGCTCCGGGACTCCTTCCGCCCAGCCCAGCTGGAGCCCACTCACCCGAATTCGGTGTTCTTCCCTGTTTGTGTGTTCTTCGTCAGTGGCACCTGAATATTCGCAATGCTCGGAAGACTTTGCACCTCTTCTTTCAAGATCGCCGTCACCTGGAAGCGGAGCCGGGAGCCGGCTCGGAGCGGTCCGTGGTTGGCGCGTGTGGCTGACCGGAGAAGGCCGATTCAGCCCGGGCCTAAGTGGCTCCTTTGGCAGCACTGGCGTTTCCCCTTCGTCCAGGGCCATTCACTGGGCCGTTCATATCAGTCCATCCACTGGTCTACCCCGTCACCGTCCTGGAACCCGACACAGTTTGACCGATCTCCGTGGGGTGAGCCCGGTCTGCCTCTTCCACGGTGACGGTGCTGAGTGCAGCCTGACTGGCCTGGATAGCCTGGCCCACGCGCCGTGGGTCCCAGCTGAGCCATATGGGCGGAAAAGGAAGACCTTTCATGTGAAGAGATCAATTGAAGATGTTCCATATTGTCCCATTTCCAAGAACCCCCCCCAGAATTTGGACCAGATCAGGACAATTTATTGCCTGGGCGATGCCAATACTTGGATCATCTTGGATCATATCACTCTTTAATTCATATATATATATATATCACGCTAGTAGCCGCTAGTACCAGGTATGTCCACTCGGGGGCGTTGGCCATCCAGAAGCAAGATGACCCCACTGCGAATGCTTGGGATGCTTCCAGGGGCTCTCAGGGCGCTCCGCCCTTCGGCCTCCACGGCAGCTTCAATACCCAAGGCCGCAGGGAACACAATGACCTGGGTTGATGCGGTGTTCAAACACCTCTCATTTCACCTAAGCCCACACCTCTCCACGCCGGCCATGACACCAAATAAAGACATAACAAGGATTAACGAGGAGCCCGCTCCGATGAAGTCATCACACCCTCCAAACTATCTCATTACAGTGAACCTATTTGGGTCGTTTTGTTCAAACAAAACCAAGAAGTCCCTCCGAATCCCCCAGTTCTACAGGAAAATCAAGGTGCATTGGTGAGGGAAAGTCCCCGATCCCCAAAAGTTCGGTTGGCCACGGTGTTTCCACTTTTTCTGGGTAGGCCACGGTGTTTCCTTCCTCTGTGGCCCTGGCATACTCCGTCTTCAGCAGCTCTTGCAGCCGCCGAGACTTGCCGTCGACGTCTGCGGGCTCCAGCCGTCGCACTGGCCCATCGCAGGTGGCACCGACCGAAAGCCGAAGATCCTGGCGGGCTCGATGCGGGTGAGGTGGTCACGTGCGACGTGCGTATTGACGCTGCTCACGTACTTGCAGAATTTTCTTATTGGTGTCCAGGTGAGGTGGTCACGTGGGAGGTTCATCGCCGTGGCATAGGAAAGAGCCTGAGTGATTTGAGTGGTGTAAACTCTTTTGGTGAAAACATTATATATATATATTAAAGATGCCACTTTGCATGCCTAGAGCTCTATTTAAACATAACTAACAAACAAGTAAGTAAGTGCATACGGGCCACCAGTCCTCGTCACAGAAAGTAACTGTGTTATATAATTATATATTATATATATATATGAAAAAAGATGCTCAGGGTTTATCTAATAAATTAACATCAAAATGATAAAAAGCTTGTGAGTTCAGCATTCACAATAGTCAAGTGTGGTGAGTGCTACGCTCGACTACACTGTGACACTGGACTTGTCTCAGCCCTTAGCACATGGTGTAGAATTGTAGATTGCACACCGCAAATATAAGGGACCGATACCGGGACCGATTGCGGAAAGTGTTGCTCGTTTGGGAAACCGGCAGTGTGCGATCTGCACGTGCCACTAGCTTTCGGCAACTACGTTCTCAACCGAACGCTGTCAGAGTCCAAGGTCTGCGTGCCGCAAAGCCATGCTTAAACCTGATTTAGCCCACGGGGGCACGCGGCGTGATCCTAATCCAAGCACTCTCTGTAGTAACGCGTGCTGAGCGGCCAGCATGTGACGCTGAAAGCAACCTTTTCGTTGGTAGTCCTCCCAAATATCACACCAGGCGCCCTCTCTAAACACTGAATAAAATTCCCCACGCAGCATAACAATCGACTCCCCGGAACTGATCCGGGATCAAACACACCTGCAAACGGCGTGGTGTGTTGTCGTACCACACATCCACCGCAAACCCCGCGCTTGCGGGCTCGGGCCACTCAAACCACGCAGCTTCCGGAGACAACCGAATGAGCATAGCAAAATCAAAGCCAACGACCAGACTTCTGTAAAGCTTAGGCGACGCATCGTGAACCTTGAGTGAAACAATGCTGCGGAGACGAAAACAAACGAACACCATTAACATATACTTGAAACATCATCTTGAAACGGATCGAGAGGGCTCGAAATCGAAACGTCGCTATTACTTGTACCCCCTCACTCAACCCTCCAACCATAAGATGCATGCGACATAACCGCTCGTCAAGCTACATAAGCTACCAGGGGCGCCCCTTAGAATCGTGATATTAAACGCCCCCCCAAAAACGATCCCACAAACAACCTGAGAATTGACCGGTGGAAGACCATTTTCCTCTACAACCAAGTGGTTTTGGGGTGGGCAACGAAAGGACGACAGTGCATCGCCAGGCCGCCACACGGCATGGCATTGCACGGCCGAGTGCGCCAGGTGCCCAAAGGCACCCCAACGTGACGGTTGTCCGGACGAAGTAGTGGTGGGAGGCTTCGTGGTTAGGCCGCGTCCGGGACATGACATCGGGACATGAAGCGTTTTCGGCGCCAAACGCAGCACTGCACCCAATCAGTTGGTGCAGGAAGTCCTATATTATCATTTATTACTATTTCTTGGACATTCTTGGCAATTGGTTAAAGTCTTGTGCCGAGCCTGGCGCCCCGCGGCCCCGCGCGACCAAAGAGCGAAAAACGACGCTTCGTCCTGCACGTAGGTCGGCCGCACCAGCTCCCCGGCGGCCCTTGCCAACATCTGCCAGCGGAGCGGGGCAGGGCACCGTGGTTGCGAAGTTCACAACATATTGAGGAAAACATCTAGATCGAGAATCTAGACCCTGATCTCCTCTTGTGTTTGATTATGTGTTGTCTTGTTTCTGTCCCACCGAAGAAACAGACTCTTTTTCAAGAATTCACGGAAAACAAACAATAAAACACACATGAAAAAAACTTGGTTGGTTTGGTTTGTTTATTTGTTTGGTTTGCTATGACTCCTTTGACTCCTGTAGATGATTTGATATCCTGCACCTGGATAGTCCCAAAAAAAAAACGTTTCGTGTTTGGTCACTTTCCCCATGTTGGTGAGTTGGAGAGCAGCACGTGCTTCACCATGTCCTTCGACATGCAGCACCAGTTGCAACATGTATATATATTCCTCGCAAAATCCTTCGGAATCAGTCTAGCACTGAGCTACATCTCACGATCATCCGAGCAAAAAGGAACGAATTGCATTTTCATAGGCCCCCCCATAGGCCGTTCCTTGTAAGTTTCACCTCTGATAGATTCTCATGCATAGACGGTAGACATGAGGGGCATCCGACTGCCTTCATATCAACTGAAAATGTTCAGGCAACGGGTCTATACTATATGTTGCCGAAATGATAACTGAATCTCAAAGGCTTAACAATCTCCAACATCCACGACTACCCCTTGCATGCGACTGTTCGATTGCAAATGGGCAACCTATGAAGGCAATAGAGTTTTTGCACAGTGCCACCACACAGCCTCTCCTGAGACCCACCCTGCCAGGCCCTGCCTGGCGCACCGCTTCGATGGCATCGGGTGAATTCGCGAAGCGCGAGGCATCGGAGACCGAGAGCCCCATGCCTCACTGGCTGCCACCGGCCGTGTCTCCGGTTGTTGAGAACCAAAAGTCTGAAAGGTAAAGAGATTCCGAAAGGATCAATTCAGAGTTTGACTCAGTTTTTGTTGGCGGGTGCCAAAAACCATGTGTCATGTGAAGGTCAAATATGTACTTGAGGCAAAAGAACACATTGTCACATGAAGGAAATGAGTCCCGCCATGGCCCACCAATGCTGTTCCTTGATGATCACGTGGCACGCCATCGAATCAACGTCTGATATGGAGCACGGTGTAGCAAATGCGTGTTCATGTCAATGTGCTGAAGCTGCAATAGCGTTCCAAACCATCGGCCCACCAGAACATCACTGTTTAAAGGAGGAACCAAAATGAAAGGTTATACCGTATATGTACATGTGTATGCAATTTCAATTTACACCGGACTCCAAATACCAAGGAGCTTTAAAAGCACAAGCAAACAAGCCGGGAGACACTTCCGTGGGCGTGGAAACTGCAGTTTGGGACCTTTCCTTTGCGCGCAGAACTAAATGGGCTAAGGTTGTGGCGAAACTGCCGTCTCCTCCCTCTTTTTGGGGGGACAAGTAAGGAGACAAGGCAGCAGCGGCAAACAAAACGCTGATCACACAGGCAAACAAGTGGGGAGATAAGGCAGCAGGGGCAGTGGTGGACCAATCAGCCACCCAGTCATTGAGAAGTAAGACCCCCTATACTATAGCTTTGAACATGTGCTATGTAAAGAACAGAAACACAACACTCAACTCCAACAGCGTCCGACATGCGACACCTCCCATCCGAGAAGACCGATGAATAATAAATACTTGTGCTTCAGAGGGTTTGCAAAGCATACTCGGTAACCCTTTATGGCTTCGATGCTTGGCCCCTTCATGGTGTAGCGCAATCCGGTTGCAGTGGCAGTCGCCCTGTACATACAGTTGTTTCCTTGTCCCAGCCTTCAATGTCTTTCTCAACAGCAATCATTGACCTCTAAGGCTTACTATAATCCTCTTTCATGTCCGCCGGGGCCTGGGGCCTGGGGTCCGACCTCAAATTCAAATCCTTTATGTCTTCTATGTTTTCCCTTCATTGGACAACGCGCAACAGCAATCACGTATGGCTTATATGGCTGCCAGGGGCCGGACAAGTGGAGAATCACAGAGGCGGACAAGTGAGGAGACATGTAAAGAGACAAGGCACGGAGACAAGTTTGGAGACATGCAAGGAGACAAGTGGGGAGGGGAGAAAAGGAAGCAGCGGCAGACAACGTGCAAATCACAGAAGCAAACAAGCAGGAAGAAGACTAGTGGGGAGACATGGAAGGAGACAAGTGGGGAGACAAGGAAGCAGTGGCAGGGGTGGACCAAAACGCAAATCAAATCAGCCACCCAGTCAGTCATTGAGAAGTAAGAACCCCTATAAATTTCAGCTGTCTGGGGAGTAGTTTTCTTTTTTCTCTGTTGTATGTGCAAGAAGCAGAAAACGCTCAACTCCAACATACATGTGTATGCAATATATATATACATATATGTGTGTGTATGTGTATATATATATATAACACATAATCCTCGGTGGGAGCGGCATATAGAATTATCTTCCTCTCTGCATTTTTTTTGGCAGTTGACCGTTCTCCTCGTCATCTTGTTCTGTTCAGCTTGCTCCTCTTCTTTTAATACCATCCTCAACCACCATCATGTTCATCTTCACCACTGCCCTCTTTTCATTCTACAGGCCGTTTCCGCCAAAAAAAACACTCTGGGGCCCTGACAGCCCGCCAGTTGAGCAGGAGCCACATCGAAGGTGGTCACCTGGGCTCTGCAAAAATACCCAAGGGACCACGCCATGTCAGGCTCTTTGAGCGCCAAAAGCCTGTGGGCCCCCCCAAATGGACGGGCTTTGTGAAGGTGTCCGAACCCTTGCAAAGGTACCCAGCCCAAAGAACACTTTGGGCCGGTGGAATTTGTTCGAGCTTTGTGTCGCCTCTTCAACTGTACTTCAATCAGTCTTTTCATGTCTTGTGCTACCCCCGGTCTGCTTCAAACGTTCAAGTCTTCAAATCTGAAGATTCTTCAGCCAGTGCCCCCAGGGCCTCTTCCCGCTTTTCCTGATCTCTGCACACCTCACATGCCCATGCCCATGCCCACGCTCGCTCCAAGGCGCTGATGTGGTGCTCTCTGTGGTGCTGGTCTGCGAGATGGAGCTGCTACTGCTGCTGGAGGAACTGCTCGACGTCGTGCTCGAGGACGTGCTGGTGCTGGTGCTGCCTCAGACCCCAAAGATAGACAATTGGAATCCCAAAGGATTTGATTTAAGAACTCACGCAGTTTTGGAGATTGCCATCAAGACATATGAAGACCCTCCCTATGTCGTTGATCCATTCTTCTCATCTGAGCTACTAGTGGTGCTCGAAGTGTTGCTCAAACTCGTTGAGCTCGTGCTGCTCGAAGTAGAGCTACTGGAGCTGCTACTGCTCGAACCTCACCCGCTGGGAGGCTCCAAACACTCCACCTACGGAATATTCATACTACATTGAGGTGGTTTGACATGTAAAAGCATATCTATTTATCAGATTTTATCAGTACATGTAATTATATAGATATGTACAAAAAATCTACAGTATATCTACATATTATGATATAATACATCTTCATCTTCGTCCCCGAGTCACCGTGAGGACCTTACATAACTCCCTGTTGTTCTCTGTCTCCGTCCGAACGACTCGCGACTAGACTCGCGGAACTCTCCAGGATTGAAAGGAGGACACCAGTCCGGGCAGCTGTTGATCCAACAGAATCTGAACATCTCATCCGTCCGGGCGGCAGAGCCAAACGGATGAACGGAACACCTCTTCAGGCGGTGCGGGCAGGTGCAAATGGAGGCCAGCCGTCGGGCGGCATGCCAAACCAGCTACAACTTCTAACAGAATTGATCATCGTGGCTCGCACCGGACTCATGATTGTCTCAGCTCCATCAATTTTCCCTTTCTATATATTTATATATACAACTAATATATACACCAACATCTCCTAGCTCCGATTTCATCTCATAAAAAATCCGCCGGCATCCCTCCGGAAGGCTGTCCCAACTTGCTAACCCACAGAGTGGATTGATGATATAATATATATGTATATATACGTTCTTTGTATGTAATTGCAGTTTTGGGGGTTTGCTTGGGCCGGAGGAGTGTAAAGGGATTAGTTTTGCACTATCTAGGCCCCAACCTGCTCTAAGTGTGTGAGACCATTCAGCCCCAGCAGCTGGTGGTGGAGGACACCTCAGTCGAGGCCCCTCGGCTGACGGGACCACGTGGAGAGTGTGGTACAGAAGCTGCTTCGTGAGGCAAATCCACATCACCCAATGTGTGTGGTACGGAACCGTACGGTTGGGCTCAGTTTGTGTCTTGAAGGCGGCAACGGCAGCATTTCAACTCCAATTTCATGATAAGTGTGAGCATCATGAAGGGACATTTCCACACGGGTATGCAAAGTGAGACTATGACATCGGGTGGCAACACTGTCACATCACTGGGGTTTATCTCCACAAAGGGAGGGAAGTGGTTTCATACATGTCTGCTGATGTATGCAGATCGGGGGGCAGGTTTGAAAAGCAATTTTCGACCACGGGGGGGTGTAACATAGAGAAAAGGGATGTCTCTATAGTCTCAATACAAAATATACATGAATCTTGTTCCCTCGGTGTTTCTGGAAACACCGTCTTAGGAATATGTATGAAATGCAGGAGGTGGCTCAAGCCGTGAAGGTATGCACTGGGGAGGAGACAGACTCAACTATGCACACATGTTTGGTGCCTTTGCGGCCATTGTATGAATCACGGGGGGGGTCAGGCTCAACCAAAATCTCCCAAAATGTATGCTCCTGGGGGGTATGGGACTTCTATGTTTATTGTCATGTTTAGAGTACGTGCAAAGTGGCGTATCAGCCATGTCAGACCATGTCAACTTCAAGCCTTCAACGAAGTGATGTCGCAATGCCACGGCCACCCCAGGAAACTCTAGCAGCCCTATAGTGTAAATTGATGAACCCATGGGGTCGAACATTATTTTTAGAAAAACCTAGTTTTTCTCGGATAATGTATTATGCAAGCCTGGGGGGTTTATTCCCGCCCTGAGGAAGCATATTGTTTTTCAGGAAAATGTATGAAAGGGGGCAGGCCCATCATATCGGGAAAATCTAGACACCGGGAAATGTTTTTGTTGAGATGGCACGGGGTATGTACATGCCCCTGAAATGTACATTGATGTGCCCCCATGATACTGGCACACAAGGGGCTTTGGAAAACCTGCCCTCGATATGATGGGTTCAAACCAAGGTCGGAAGCTTTCGGACATGACATGACATAGCAGGTGCCATGTCCAATCTTGCTTGGATTAAGCAAATGATCTCAAGCAACACTGCTGATACGCACACTGACCGTAGGGTAATCCCCATGTTTATCACCAATGTTGAGGCCCATGCGGTGCCACCTGACCAGGTCTCACCTTCCAAGGGGGCACACCCCTCGCGACCTCGTCTGCACAAAGATTTGTGCCCTCGCAGCGTGGCCTACACTGCCAATGTTCCGCAAAAAGAAGTCTTGGATCGAGTTCGAAAAGCGAATCAAATACAAACCTCTTTTGGACTTGATGGACCAGAACGACAAAACCTCAAAGCTGAGACACTGTCGTAGTGGACGAGGTTACACTGGTAACCGTCGTGGTTGTAGTGGTCCCTCAGAACAGTCAGTTTGCAGCTTAAGCAAGGATGATACGTACAGTAACCCAGCTCAAATTCCACCAGCAAACTGCTCAACAAATGTCACGTTTAGAGAGGCGAGTATCAAGATGCGAACTCAACTGCTATGATTTTTGTTGTGATCTTGTTTGCATCGCGACGTGACAAACTCTACCACCTCAAGATGGGCAAAGCTGGAACCGACCACAAGCAGCAGAATGTCCCTCAGCACAAAAACCCAGAAAAACGTCCTCCAACCTTCCAAAACCTCATATGGCGCCCCCCCTTTTACGGTAGGTCTTCGAGTCTTCAGGCGACATGAATTCCTGACTCGCGGAGCACCGAGCACGTCCATTTCACCGATGTCATATCTCACCATGTCACGTTGGAAGAGTGGAATCACTGTCGCCAGATGGTCCTGGCGACGGCCACGCAAGCAATCTGTGCTGATTCCATCTGTGCCCTTTTTTAGCGAGGTGACGTGCCATTCGTCATTAATCCCACAGCTTCCCACTAGCGTCCCCTTGTTCATTTGCCAATCACGTCGCATGATGAACATAAATGAACATTAATTAGGCATTCTTGTTACATGATGTTACATGGTGACTAGCGTGCGTTTGAGCTTGATGAGTCTTCTTCCCTTGGGCCGTGCACATACACAAACATGCACACACTTCCCTTGCCGACCAAATTTTCCAAACGCAACATCACCAAATGGCACGTCTCTTTCATGTTCCATGGCCTCTGGGCATGTCGGATGCACAAACGAGTCTCAACGCATTGAACTGTAATAGACGACGGATACTACGACGGATTAGTGCAGATTCCTGAAGTGGAGTGCAAAACAGCAAATCTGTCCAATTTCGCACGAACGTGACCGCACGTCCTGCCAGGTGGAGATTGATAGACTCACCATTTCCTGGGAAAACAACTGAAGCCAAGCTGCTCCTAGCACCCTTAGGCCTTAGATTCCGTTAATGATAACACTGGGAACACTGCTGGGAACACTGAGGACTCATGCGAAGCCAACGGCATCCGATGGGCAAAAGGCCTTGAAAAGGAGAAGACGTCCTTTGAACTGGTGCGTGGTTGGGTGTGTCCTTTTTGGAGGCCTTTTGACCAAGAACTTGGCCGAATTCAGCCTCGCAATCACCGCATGCGGGCGCACTAACGAAGACGTGCGGCCCGCGGCACGTCGTGGCCGAAGTTCAGCAGGTACCAGGCAGAGGAGCAGCACTCCCCAGCCTTGTCCTGGGCGACCCAAAGGCGGGACGAAGCCTACGAAGCCTACGATGTGTGAAGATGAAGTGCTTTGAACAAGTCACATGTCGTCAGACTTGTTCCGGGCATTTTCCAGCCCAAGTCCCGTCCTCCGGGTGAAACTTCAGAGACAATCTGACGAGGATGTGTAGCTGTCTGTGTAGCTGCCAGGGGTTGCTGACACATCCAATACTTAGAAGCCAGATCCATGCAAGCATTGATTCGACATATACAACTTCAACCACCCGCAAACGCCCACAAGGAGAAGAGAGAGTCTGCATGCTTCCTTCCAAAGCAGCTCGACCACCCGCACACAAAAAAGACAATAAGACAAATCCATACAAATCCATTATCCACCACAAGTTTCTGCATATAAATATATATATATATATTGCACGCACATCAATGTACATCAGTTGTTGATAGATGTTGATGGTATCGTACATACACTATGCACTATGCACTATGTTTGGCGTTCGCTGCTCCGTTCGCATCGCTCCATTCGCATCTCCAAGTCCGCTCTGCCGATCCAAGTTTCGGTCATGTTGGAACTCACAGGGCGGCTTCCCAAATGTGTGAGCTCCGTTCCACACTCGTCCTGGGTGACGACGACGGAGTTGTGCAGGTATGGGGGGTTATGGGATCAAGTGCCGATCCCTTCCAAGTGCTGATCTGGATCTATCTGGTATGCCTGTTTACGATCTGGATTTGTCCAAAATCGCCAGCTTGAGCATTTCTGGAAAGTGCCAAGCCAAGCAGCAATTGCCCACACATGGTATCCCTCAAGTCGCAGTTCCTCTTCTTCTGTGGCGCCAAATGGTGCCCAACGTATCTCGCCGCCAACCCAAACTTGTTGATCCCAATCCTGCATCAGCCAGAATCCGGGCAACCAACAGGCAGACAAACTCCTGTTGCAAAACAGTTCATCGTGGCAAATCCTGCAATAGAAGCTTAGTTCTGTATGTGGAGAAGAACGACTTACAAGCATTGCAAGGAAGCAATATCCTATATATTGTTGTATATCTCTGATCCACGCAAACAAAGTCGAGACTTGGCTATCAATCCTGATGTATGTATGTTTATATATATTTTTAGACTCGTAGACTCTTCCTTAGTGCCCCCCCAAGTTTCCATCCAAATTGGATCCCAATGGGGGTTCGTAACATCAAGAGCCTACCGAGTCTCCCTTCTGTACCTCACATCACTGCACCATCACCCCCGCCCCCTCGCTCCTCCATGACCACCGTTGCACACCTGTTGCAGGTGCCGCCGCCGGAGGTCTCCGTCTCGCGAGGGCACATGGCCGAGCTCCCCCGGCCGCTGCAGCCGAAGTCCCACAGATCTTCGGGAGCCAAGCCTCAGATCCCAAGGCGGCCAAGCCTTTTTCTCATGTCCTTTGTTCTCATGCGTGGTGTTAGAAAGGCACATGGCATCACATGGCAAATGTTCTATGATTGTCCATGATTCTCAGATTTATTGATGGATTTGGAGGGCCGATTTGGGGACGATGGAAGCAACTGAAACCACCAAGCCCTTGAGCCAATAGGAAACTGCGATCTGCACCGCAAGGCTACGGTGTCTTTCACCGAACTTAGTGAGACAAAGCTCCTTACTGTCATGGCGATTGCTGTCATTGGAGTGAAGAAAAGTGAGGGCATATGATGACTCATACAGAAAAACGTACCATTCGACTGGATATATGACTGGATGCATTTGACTGCCTCCCCAGGGACAGTAGTCATGGTCCAACGCTCCCGCTTGGCAAATCTCTGACTCCACCGGCACCTCGGACGGGTTTTTTCCGGGAACAGGCGCCATCGGGTGAAGATCTGAGAATGGACTCGGCAAGCTTTCTGCGGACCAATACCACATACTTGAAGTAGAATAGCATTTATATATAATTGGAATCAACACACACATTCAAGCAATTTTAAGCAGTTTGTATGCCGTTTTCAAAGTCCTATATATATATACATACAGAAAAACGCGTGATCTATGACAATCTTGACAATCATTAGCACACACTCTGTGATGATACAAAAGTCCCGGGAAACTTTCTGCCGCACATCCCAATGCCCTCCAAGGAACGCCACCATAAAGCTTCCGACACCAAGCCCTCTCAACTGTGCTGCTGGTGCTCCTCGGGCGCCGCACCGACCGAGCGCGAAACGTGAACCGGAGAAGCGGCCATTAGCCAAAAGGAAAACAGTGGAAAAATTCAAACAGTGAAACCCCATTTGTGGACAATGTTCTTTGAATTTGATGGCCTAATTTCAGGTGCGTCATCTTCTATGCCACCAGACCATCACTTGCAGGCTGAGGCTTTCCAGTCTCACTGTCTCCGGTCCGTGCCCATGGAGCCCAGCGGCGATGTGGTGGTGGAAAAAGTGGAGCTGGTTGAGGTTTCTGTACCTCCCAGAGCTTCCAAGGACGGAATTCCGAGAAGCATCCACCGTCCACGGCCCCCATCGGTCACGGGTTCGTCCACGTCAGAATCGGTCAGGTTCGTCACTGTTGGAAGATTGGGCTAGGGCATCATTTGGAGCACTGCTCGTGGTCGTGTTCGAAATCGAAGTAGTTGTGCCTGGCATAGACATCCAGCGCGTGTGATTGTGCAAAGCGGAAACTATTCAAAATATTTCAAACGGAGTATTTTGATGTAATATGCAGGTGTATCTCTGTCCGTGTGAGTGTGTGTGTGTGTGCGTGTGTGTGTGTGTAACCCTTGGAGTCATAGGGATGCTTTTGCATTCATTT